CGTAATACAAAAAAGAAGCATGGTGTTTACACTTACATACACTTCCACCATGAATTAGCTATGAAAATGTGCAATGTCGCCGCCACCGCCGCTAAGGTTGATGTTCTCTTTTCTATTTTTGCACTGTGAGATTTTAATTAAAATTATGTGAACAAGCATTTCAGTGTTGAAACTATTTAAAGTTTCCCTATTGTGTGTGATTAGCAATACATGCAAAAAAAAGAAGAAGACTTGACTCTGGTGCAAACACTGGTGCAATTCCAAGCGAAGAACAAGCATCTGTGAAGAAGACAATGGATACAATTGCATAATGGATATGTTGTTCGCTTCTTTTTTTCCTCCTTTGCGTCATATTAACGATAGCACGAAAATAGTGGGTGCATTCCGTACCAATGTGTGTGAGTAAGACTGAGAAAATTCCATGGAATGCGGGACGATCGACTGAATTTTATTTCGTTATGAAGTAACATATATCAAAAATTAGTTTCAAAATTGAGAGTGTCTAGAACATAATATTTGAACTTTGGTTTTTGATTTATTGAGCTAAGAAGTGAGAAGAAGAACAGATCGATTGAGTGCGATCAATTGATGAACTATGACTTATATGCTTACGCTATCAGCGGCTAAAGTCAATGCCCCAAAGAATTTCTATAACACATTACCATAAAATGTGCACGCATTTTATATCATTAGATCCATTTATTTGAGGGTAAAACGAAAGATCGTGTGCAACGAGCGACGAGATGAAACAATTTTTAATTTGTATGTGATCGGTGTTATCATGTTGCGCCTCTTCTATCTGTTGCTGTTGTTGTTGTTTTTTTTTTTACTTTGAAACCTGTATTTTTGGAATTATGTTAAACGCATAGTTTTATAATTAATTATAGCATGAAGCCGGCAAGGTGCACAAGACAAACAACGAATAATAAAAACAAAATTATGCATAGAAATACGCGGAAAATGAGTTCAAATAATAGCATTTCAAAATGAAAACAAAAAGAACGAAGAATGTTCTCACATGTCTGCTATGCACATTTTGAAATGGTGAACTGCAATGAAAATTAGAATTGGGTACAAAGAGAATGAAAAGATAACACGCTCAAGTAAACTGTACATCAAGTCTATCAATTTATTATCAGGGTAATTGAAGAAAAGAACGTGCAAATTGGAATCCGAATACTAAAACTGGCAACGAAATATTTCATATGTTCCATTATAATGAACACAGACGCTGTTGAAGTCATGAATTTGGTTTCAGTTTTGGTTTGTTCGGAAAATACACGGAAATGTTATCATTTAGCTAAAAGTTGAAATTATTTGTTCAGTAATCACGGAGAAAAGAGCGAATGCTTCTCCAAAAAATCCTGATTATTTTGGGTTAGAAGTCCTTATTAATCATTATCCTAACTCGTGAATGTAATTCTACTGCACTGAAATAATTTTCGTGTTTGAGTCAGTAAGTTGATGTTTTTCTTTCTTGATTTAAAATAGATTTTTCTTCGATTACGCACAACTGTTCTGGTTGACAGATATCCAATCAAGGGTAAGCTGCACGAAAAACAAAAGTGGTTGGCGCGATATATTAATAGTCATACGAGAAAAATCAGCTCTGTGAAAGCTAATTCGTACGAATTTAGAAAATATTTAATGTTCACTGAATATTGTTCAGACATGTAGCTCAGATGTGGCATTTAATAATCTTTAGAATATTACTGATATGAAAAGCTATAAGAATTAGCTAACAGAAGCTATTTTACTGTCATTTTTTGTTGTTGGAAAAAACATAAAAATTATTGTCTAATCGCAATTTGGGTTCCTACTCGAAACTTCTGTGTAACAATGTTCTTATTTTTACGAATTACCAAACCCACAGACCCGACACTTTCTCCTAGATAATTACAATTATTATTAAGTGCATCATCAACGCCAATCTGCGTTGGTGGCTAAGACAATTTTTTTTTGAATATATGATTGAATTCGACCAACAATTCGATGATACTTATTTAATGCGTTGTATATTTCATTGTGGATGCCTTTTTTCAATCGTCATATATTATGTATCCATTGAATTCTCGATCAATATGCTCAATTCTTTTCAAAATGGGGACATGAATGACATAAAGATAAATTTATTGGTTTTGTTCACCCCATGAAAGCCAACGAAGCCTATGTTGCTTCAAGAAAAATCGACCAATATTAAAGAAAAGAGAACTTCATATAAAGGCGTTCATAATAGATGAATCGAATGGAAAATGCAAACAGCATTCCATTTGTATATGTGGTAAAGAAAATAAAAACAGAAACCGACTCAAACCGGGAACCAGTGCATTCATACCAGAAGCTAGTCCATTTAGACTCACAGAAAAAGTATTATAATTCACTGCAAAAAGACTATATATGTATTTTGAATTGAACGAGTGTCGTTCGCACCATGAACTGTAATTTATTTATGTAACCGCATGTTGAAAGGAAATAAATAGCACGATGAATATCCCACTAGAAGACATCTTTAATATGCATTGCTTGAATCGGTAGCAACTGGACTTAGTCGATTCCATATTAAACATTAATAAAAAATGCAATAATAGCAATAGTCCTGGGATCTACGTATATATAACCGGCTAACAACACATTAAATATTAATAAAAACCCTTATTTAATGTATTTAATGTACACAGTGTGAATGTGTTAAGTTCCCAATTCCATAGAAAGGCCGTACTTTTTCATATGACTTTGTGTGCAATATCCAAATAATATACCGAATACCAGTTGAGTATAAAACCATGTTGTCATACGCTTCATGCGTATCTCATTATGTTGGAGACCAAATAATGAGGGGAACGAATTACAAACCCCGTAAGAAATTTCATCCGCACTTCCTGCAGTGCATCAATTGACATCGACAAATTGTCCGGCAGATTGAAACAAAACCCCAATACAACTGTTAACATTATGTGTTTCTAGACCCTAATATGCAGGTTGACAACACGCTTTAATCAAACATAAAGGTCGATTAAAGTGAATTTATCTGTCCCATCTTCCACGTTTGTCAACAGTTTAAGACAAAATGTTACCATTGAACCATGGATAAAGATTTGATTGGACAAAATGCTAGATTTTGCGGGTGCACAAATTTCGATTTGAGTAAATGTTTAATGATCCGTATGAAACGCGAAAATTCCCTCAAAATATCAAAAACAGTCTATTCGGTAGTATTAGAAAGCAAGCTAATAATACATTGGAACCCCTGGCAATTAGTTGGAAAATCCAATAACGGCAAACCAGACATTGCACTTTGCGTGATTGCAAAAGAGCACTGGCATTCTACCTTTTCATATCAAGCACTGTGATCTGAACGAAAGTTGATTTTTGGAACTTGTTTTTCATTCACATGCAATAGTCTCATTTATTTACACGACTAATATTGTACATTTTTTATTAGTCCGAACGAGAAACTTGTTGTTTTCGAAAAAAAAAAATTGTGATAAATTTTCAGTAAATGTGAATGTGAAATGAAACTCTTTCGAATTTAGAGATAAAAAAGTTAAGATGGATTAATTGGTCATTGCAGGCCAAATCGTTTGGATTTAAAATGATTTTTTTCTCCACTGTATAGTGTACTATGTACACTATCAACACACTATAATATTTGACTGAATTAATCTAGCGCTTGGCATGGTTTGGCATGGAAGTAACAACCTCAGCAAACGTCATGGTCATGAAAATGAATCGAAGATTAAGCTGACTTGAAATCACGAGATTTAGATTTGAAACGAATGTTACGAATATAGCGAATTCATCACAACTTGAACAAATAAAACCAAATGAAGTCAAATAAGCAAATAACATTGAATGAAATGAGCTCAAATGAATGGTTCTGGGCCTCTAGTTGAAAATTCTGCATACCATATAAAATGTCAAGCATCTTTCTCGCCGCCGCGACGAAAAAAATTAGTATAGTTCACATGTTGTCGCGCACTGTGCAACACACCAAATACAACAGACTATGATATGCAATTCAATACGAATTGTGGACTATCGCTAAATATGTGGCGCCTCTAGGACGACCAATAAATTTATCATGTCTGCTTTACGTTTTTATTTTTCTACGCAAGAATACAGCAATTGTAGCGTAAAACCAGCCCGACAACAGCGATGCGAAAATTGAAAAATACGCGCGACAAACGGAGAATAGTTCTACTTGGTCGCAATTTTGACCAGATTTCGAGACAAAATTAAGTGGTATTTTGGAATTCAATTTTCAACCATCCCCGAATTGCCTACATAGGCGAATCCCCAACATCTATATATCAACGTATATATAATACAGTCAAACAGTTTTGAGCCATCACGCATTGACCATTTTTAGTAGATCCGTTAACATATTTCGGACGCAGCTAGACACTTGAAGTTTTGAACATTTTTCTCCACAAAACTGTACAAATATACCCAATATACAAATCTGTGTCACATCAACAGAAGTGTTAAATGCCATTTCGATCAATTTTGAACGGATAAAAAAGAGCTTTATGAAAAAGATATGACTCATTTTTATCAAATTGACATGTCAGAATTGGAATTGAGTTAAACTTGTAAAAACTGTATTAAATCATAGCGTTATCGACCATCCCAAAATAAATCTTTTTCTAAGCATGTCATCATTTAGGTTCTATTAGTCCCCTCTTTTTACCAGATATGATAGCTTTAAATAACACAATATCATATATGAAAACATTTTCATCGCTCAATTTATGTCATGCTTAGGGAATTGTTCAACCATAAGATTCCAGTTTCCGATGTGAAAAATGCTCGATTTCACAATATTAAAGTGATTTAAAAAAATATTGATAACTGTAGCAAATTGCATACACTGTCTTCAACTAAATTGAGTCAGGCCATTGAAAAAACAGTCAGAGATGAATCTGTATATTAATGATGACAATCGAACGAAGAAATCAGTCCTATTCTAACAATCCCATCATTTTGTTTTATCATTTCAGTTAGTGCGCTTCTACCAGCTATTGATTTATTGGAGGCACTGGAACTACCAACGAATCATTCTCATTATATCGGAGTGAGCATAGCTCAAGGCATGGAAAGGCATTTATTAGCTTTCAAACTTGGTAAGAAATTTCACCCAAAACATTTTTCCGAATAAATTGGCAATGTTAACATTATCAAATCATACTATCTATTGGAATTTGGCTCTGAAAAACGTCATTCGCTAAAGCGTCCCTTGACAATGTTGTTATGCATAAGCGGCTCATCCGTTACGTATGTTTTAATTGATGTCCTGCATTCGTAGATGGACGAAAATTTAAGTCGCATGACAGTTCTTCCGTTTGACAATCAACATATCCTGGGTGCGCTTTTGCGTATGAACATTTTTCATTACCTTTTTATTGCAACATAGTAGATAAATAATAGCATTGAGTCGGTTTCAGTGTTGTAGTTGAAACCAGAAATATTCTCTCTCTGACATATTTTCCCATTTCTCTCCTGTTTTCAGATGAACAAACTCGAAATCTTTCAACACCGACGCGATCACTGAATCGAGCCATTAATTTAATAAAGCGTTCACCTGACTTCACATTTTCGACAACAGTACTGCAAGAGAGCGGAAATATAGGGACCCTCATATCATTTTCTGGCGGCAATAATAGGTAAAAATAGGTCGTCAGATAATTTTTCATTTCGAATTTTTGACATTTTCTCCACTTGGCATCCAATCGTAATTCCATCATTTGGTTTTTACAATCGAATATTTGAGCGGTCCGAGAGAAAAAAAACGAGTTACGATTGGTTGTTTCAGTAGAAAATGTTGGAATTTTATACTTAACGAGTTGATGAGTAAGTATAGTGATTGTCAGGTATTTAGAATTGGAATCAAGTGGCCGAAGGAATGAAATACGTTTTATTTATACGGCGATGGACGCGCGGAATAACCCAATCCAACACACAGAGTCATTTTCGTATACATTAGCGGATTCTAAATGGCACAAGGTTTCACTAACAGTTAGTGGATCCGAAATACAATTATTAGTAGACTGCCATTTGATTTATAGAAGGATGGCAGATCACATACCAGATAGAAATTTTAGTGCTTCCGAAATGCATTTATTTGTTGGCCAACGAGATAAACAATATCAGTTCAAAGTAAGTATTGTTCACATTAATTCCACAGAGACTAAAATCAATTGGAAATTCATTTTAATCTGTCGCTTGACACGTTTCTACTTTATCGATTACTGTGCTCATTATTAATTCTATGTTGATATATTTCCGTCGAAAGATGTAACGATTTTACCCAAGGGGAGAGACACCAACGCTAGTTTCACTAATTTATTCTATTGTTTCCTAATATATGCTATTTTTGCTAGTTTCTCTCAATAAAAGTGCTATTTTTTGCTAATATTTCCTATGTGCAACGTGACAGTTTGACAGTTCACGTACAAGTAACACTTATCAAGTTATTGTTGTATGTTTGGAAAGAAAGCAAAAAAATTATATTTTGGCAATTTTTCTAATGTTATTTCATAGAAAAGAACAAATTGTTCCATTTAATTTCATAAAATAACTCGAAAACTTTGTTTTAAACGGTTAAAAACAGTAAATAAGAAATCGCTATTTCTTCAATAATATTGCTATTTTTTTGCTATTTTTGCTATTTTCCTCTAGTATTTATATGAACTTCGAAAAAATAGCTAATGGTGTCTCTGATCATGATTTTACCCATTTCGACACTATGTGGAAGGTATACGGCTAGCATTGAATCCAAACTGCAGATGTACACCACAGGTCATAAGTTTGGATACCCCTATAAGTATATTGTTTCTACGTTTTTTTGAACATTTTCAGTTGAAATTTAGTATTGGATATGAAAATATATCGAAATTCTGACCGAATGGAAGATTTGGAAGATAACATTTGGCCGGCCTAAGGCCATCTTTTGGCCTTTGAGCTGTGGGAGCCAAAATCGAAGTCTTAAACGGGCCATCAGATTAAAAAGTTATATACGCCATTGGAAAGGTCTTGAAAAGTAGATGTGATTTTTGATTGAATATTTCGGCCAAACGCCGGCCGAGTTTGATGTTTTCCACCAAAAATCACATCTACTTTTCAAGACCTTCCCAATGGCGTATAAAACTTTTTAATCCGATGGCCCGTTTAAGACTTCGATTTTGGCTCCCACAGCTAAAAGGCCAAAAAATGGCCATAGGCCGGCCAAATTTTATCTTCCAAATCATCCATCCGGTCAGAATTTCGATATATTCTCATATCCAATACTAAATTTCAACTGAAAATTTTCGAAAAACGTAGAAACAAACGTTTCATAGGGGTATCCAAACTTATGGCCTGTGGTGTAAATTCCATTCGTGCTTCAAAACTCATTCGTAGCATCTGTGATAAGCAAATTAGAATCTAATCATTGGATGATACTAGCCGTATTAAATGAAAAAGTCATTGCAGTTGACCGTAGTTTTAATCATTTTTACCTGTCGCGGACAAAATTCAACTGTACATATTATATTTAAAGAACACTCTGAATAAGGAATACACAATCAAAGTCGCTTGCATTATCTTCGTCGATCAGCGTCGAATTTTCGATGCGTCCAAAATTGTTATAGTGTTTGTACTAGCTATGTCGGCAATTCGCCATCGTTTAAAGAACGCATCCCACGACGCGATAAATTTCAAGCAAAAATGTTGTAATCACTATTTTCATCGAATAATTTTCGGTGTTCCTCATTTGAATACTAAATTACTGTGTATTCAACTTTTGCCGGTCGATAGTAAACAATGGTTTACATTGGATAGACAGGAGACGATAGAATGATTGTTGATAGGAAATCGGCTTTCAATCAATTGTCTGCATCGAAACATTCTCTAAGGTTGAATTTGTTGCAATGCTTTGATAATGTGGTCTTTGCTTTGAACAATAACTTTGTACATCTTGAAAAGGAGGAGCTAAGTAAGTATTCGTCCAAGCTTCCGTTATTGCGATGAAAAAATGGTTAAAACTACAGTCAAAACCTTCCCATTGAATTATTATTCTGGATTATATTTGCCCCGAATGGGAGTATTTGAGTTAACAATTGTTTCTTTTGGATCTCGTTATAGGGATATATTCAAGATTCATATATTGTTTCTGGGCCGAACGGTTATCTTAAACAATGTCCAAATATGGCAACTCAATGTCCAACGTGCGGACAGTTTAGTCTTCTTGAGAAAACAATAGATGATTTAATAAAAAATTTAGATGAATTAAAACAAAGGGTGAGTAAAAGCGTGATTTATTTCAATACTTCTGATGGCCATTGGACAGCTTATTGAATGATTGGTAATAAATGTGAGTCAGTAGATTACGATAACTATCATTTGCGCCAAACCAATACACCCAGATATGGATTGGTAAAATAAGATGTGAGATTTTACCTCAACACACATAAACACACAAGTGTAAATCATATCTCTATGACTTTCATTTATTGTCAGTTTTTCAATCAATCGGTTCGTCAATGGGCCTCCGCTATTTGTTTATTGTCAGCCCGAATTGTTGCTAGTAATTGTGTATCAACCTTAAAGCCTTTGTTTCGATTTATACGTTTTCCTATTTCAATATTTCAACCGCTTGGTCAATTATAATGTGAACAATCATGTAATTGAATAAGCGGAAACCGATTACGAATAGAATTTACTGAAACCAGTTTTGTATGAAAGTGTCAAAATTATTGCATTGGAAAATAAGGCCTACTGCATGACGGGACTGAAAAGACATGTTCAAACTAAAAATGAAAATGCAATTGAATGCGTTTTTGTTTTGTTGAACATGGTACTATCTGTCATACATTTAACCAACCTTTATGATTTCACATACGCATTTTCTTTTATCAAGTCGAAGTGTTGTTAATGTTTCATTTTTTTTTTCTATAAATTTTTTGTATATATCAACATGTAGCTAGTGGCACAAGAAGATCGTATTGTGAGTCTTGAAAAGTGTGACTGTAAAAAATCGTGTATGACAATAGATGGTAAAAGGAAAGAGGATAATGAAAGATGGGATGATGGTTGTAATACGTGTATATGTGAAAGAGGTGAAATCAAATGCAATCCAAAAAGTTGCGTTAAACCAATATGTAAAAATCCAGAATTCCCCCCAGATGATAAGTGTTGCCCAAGATGTTTAAGTGAGTTATTATTTCATTTATTTTTCTTTAATAAAAAAAATGTACCGTTTATTTTTCAAACTGTGTCTGTGTGCATCCAAAATGTACATATACGTTTAAAATTTGAATTTTCATTTTTATGAACATATTGAATGCCAAAGAAATGTGTACCAATATTGTTGCGTCTGTATTTCTTGTCTCTTTTTATTTTAATTAAATTTTTGATTGAACTATTTTCATCAGAAAACTGCTTGGACAACAATCATAGGATAGTCGAACACGGGGAATTTTCAATAACCGGCTGCGTAAACTGCACGTGCACAGATGGTGTTTTGGGATGTGCCCAAATTGTTTGTCCACAATTATCGTGTCCGCCAGAAACTCAAATACAGGAAACCAACCAATGCTGCAAATTTTGTCCAGGTGATGAGAAATCTATAGATGAAAATATTATTAATACATCATTTAGATGACATATCACATGAAAAAAAGGGTGTTCAAACATCTAGGCGAATATATGCACATAAATAAGCTGAACATATAGACCCCATGAAATATTTTACAAGACAAATTTACTTTATCACAACTGTAATCTACATAATTTGTAACGATTTATGTAAGTGGTTGGAGTGTGGAAACACTGTTCGTAAATCAAATGACATGTAACGAAGATTTGTACCTTTAATCGAACGTAAGATCGATTGATCGATCGAATTCAACAATTAGGTATTTAAATGTAGACCAGGTCTACGCCAGATTTCTGCCGAATCAACACCAAAATTGTATATTTACTCCACAGAAGATTGGCTGTAAATTGTTGATATTTTTCGATTAAAATTCCAACTGAATGCAGCCATTTTTCAGGCACTGGCATTCTTTCCCTTGAGATTAGCCAACAATAAAAGTGATTATTTTTTGTTAACAATATATTATTGGGCGTATGCAGAAATGTTGTTCATTTTTTCAAACACGTATAGTAATTGCAAATGTCAGAACACAGCATGTTCAACATTTGTGCATACTTCCGATGCGGTCGAATATTTGTGCCGATCAAACCACTACTCATAATGTACAAAATATGCCAGTGTCATTGTTACAGTCATTGTTTACAAATGTTGAATGGTCCAAACAGAATCAATAACTACCACCTTTACATCTGACAAATATTAGCTACAATGAACGGACTTGGTTAGAAGTAATCATTTGTGAATTGGCAACCAAACAATTTTCACACATTTTTTGATAATTTATACATACACGCTGCTTAGTAAATACACAACTGTAAACATATTCCAAGAATTTCCAATTAATTTATTTTTGCACACGAAATGGATACAAATTCCTTGCAAATCAATCGGAGTAGCTACAATAAAATACTATGTAAACAAATTATAGAATTTCTTTAGAGAAATCTTTTTATTGATAAAACAGATTTTATTTACTTTAAATAAAGAAAACGAGGCATTGAAATAATGTTGCCAAAAAATGTAAAAATAAACGTAATCGAAATAGATCGTGAGAGATACAGTAAAGCGATTTGAATAAATGGTATTTGTGTTTTAACAGGTACCCCTTCAATATGCCGTAGAGTGTTTTTAATATCAGTCAAATGAAAAGTGTTTATTTCTACTAACTACTGACTATCGATTGCTGTGTTATTATGCAGATATTTATTATTTAGACAGACACTTACTCAATGATACTAGCCCCCCCCCCCGTGCATTTTGTATCAGTGGGTTTATATAGGAAGAAAACATAAGACATGATGTTACTCACACACATGTCATTATATCACTACATTCGCTTTTCACTTCGATTCGGTCGTATGATGGAATTCGTTAGTTATTTCAATGATTTCTGAATCTGTTTCTTTTGTTGAGTGAGAATATTCGCAGTGCCACTTTGTAAATGTCGTGTTTTTAAACAAACCAGAAACAAAATTCACCGTAAAATAATCTCCATTTAGAACTTTTGAAGGTTGGTCGCCCAGAGGGGGGTAATTTCGAATTGCAAATTTTCATTTGGGGGGTTATTTTGGAATCGAGTATGGGTAATTCCAGAAGTGAAGAGCAAAAAAAACGTCATCACTTTTCAAAATCGACTATCTAGTGTAGACCCGATTTGCAGAAAACGTGAGGACTAAAAAAAAGGTCCTCGATTTTGAATTTGAATCAGAGTATGGGTAAAATTTTCCACATAGAGGTAATGTGCCAAAATTAATTCAGAGGGAGGGGTAATTTGATCTGTAGAAATTGTTTCCCCAGAAATTAGGGGGCGGCGCCGTAAATAGACATTCGTTTTATTGTTATCAATTGACGCAGTTATTAAAAATAAGCTCTGTTCAATTGACTGATATCAAAAACACCCCTTCAATGTACACAAGAGAAAGATTAGATATTAGTTTTTTCTGGCATAGATAGAGAAAAAAAAATCCCAAAGTGCTAAAATTTAGCATCACGTAATAGAGATTTTCGGATCACAATAAGTAGTCTTATGTAAAGCAAGATGGATAGAACGCGATATTTCTTATTTATTGATCCTGTAAACGATTAAAATTTGCGCTAACCGCACCAGATACATTTTATTTAGGCTATGCCTAAAGGACTCGGACATATCTTACTCCAGTGCTGCTCTTAAAAGAAAATCTGAACGAGGAATGAAATTGATGCTTTATGTGAACAAACAAGCCTCTTCTTAAATTTCTCGGATTTTTTCACACCTCACTATGGAGTGTATTCCATAGTGTATAAACAAAAGTGTCCACACTATTTCGTACAACACATTCAGAATCGAATATATTAAGAATTCTATCGTATTTCTGCCGATCGCTTTGCATGAAAAATCGATTTTCAATAATCATGGATTTTGATTTCATCCATCGAGATTTATATAAAATCCAGAATGAAACCTGTGTATATCTCACATACAAAGTCTTGTTGTAGTTTAGAAGAGATAAGGGAAAAAAAATGCAACGCATTTTGATCATAGATCTAAGATATGACGTCTTAAATTGAAATACAAAATATACTCCAGCTAGGGTGGTTTTAATATCAGTAAAATGAAAAGTGTCGATCTTCAAGTGAAGGAGCAGAATATTTTGCATCAATTTATGGAATTAATACAACACATGGATTCGAATTCAAACTTCACTTTCGATTTTTCCTCAAAATATTTTTGTTTCTTATTCGAAATCCTCACAAGATCAATTTCGCAATATTTCGATGATGAACAGACTTCAAAATACGACGACTCTTTGACTCGGCTGCATATTCAAGGCGGCAGGTTATTCATCGATTGCTGCGGTTTATTGCCAGTTATGACTTAACCATGTTTGGACATAAAATGTCCAGATACATTTGGATCCCGTTCACTCCTTTCTTTTATATTAAAAATGAGGTTACTTTTCGTTTAACTCATATCAAAAACACCCTACTCTACCCTACAGACACGATCCATAGTAATTTCCTATCAATAATTAGAACTTAATTTGAAGTTGTTAATTGTTTTCATTAAAACATTTGTATGGAAATTCAGTGGAATACGAAAAAAAATGTACCCATCGATGGGAAAAGAATAAAATACCAAAAGTGAGTAATTGAAAAAAAAGAAGTGAAATAAATGCACGAACCTTATTTATATTGAAGAAAAATTTTGCGTTGCATTTCTGATGTGTACAAAATAAATAAGCTTCATATAATTTCTATCCAAAAAATTCACAAAAACTAAGATATATAACCGACAGATTGCTTTGTGACTAACAATATTGGGGTGGCTATTTCTGTCTATCTAAAATTAATTATTCATAAAACAATACTAAAAGTTTTGCTAACATTTCTTATAAAATTTGTCACTCTTATTGATTGATACAATTGTGTTGCAATATCAATCGATCATTCATGCAAAATCATTACGCAATTCTGTTCTTACTTTTTATGGTGTTATTTAAGAAAAATGCTTAATGGGGTTTATCGATTTTTAAAATCATAATGTTCATATCTTAGGACATGCCTTAATCGAAAGAAGACTTCAATACAAGCAACTCAAGAGGCACGGGACGACTATGTGTATGGGAAATCGCAATTTTTCGCTGACTCAAAAATACGGGATTCACTCTAAGTTTGCTATTTATCACATTTCAATGGTCAAAATAGTATGAATTGACTAAAAGTCCTAAAAAATCCCATTTTTAGTAGCAAACTTTTCGATGAAAAACCCATGTTTTTGAGACAGCAATGGCTATTTCTCACATACAAAATCGTCCCGGACCATGCCGGGCCTCCTATTAGATCTAAGTCGTAGGACAAAAATTGCTTGTATTGGGTATTCTTTCGATTAAGGCATGTCCCACTGTCCCAGGCGAGATTATATTATTATCATTGCCTATATTCATAGATTTTAAAAATCCCTCCATCCTAAATGCTTAACCTGATAAATGTACTTTGTTTCCTTTTTCATCATTAACTAAAACATCGAAATGAATAATTTCACTTATTCTACTTTCTTTTCTTTTTCTATTTTCCGATGAAATATCTGACTGTAACCATCAACTAAATCAATGTGACTTTTCTCTCGTAAATAACATAACCACTGCATTTGTGTGTATTTTGGTAATCGCATTTAATAATATCCATCCATCCAACCATCCATTAACGACCAACGATAACAATTCACACGCCACAAATAAATTGGATGCAATTTCAAAATTTTCATATCTCCTAACATTGCTTTGTACTGATGGTCCTATTCATAACTCATAAAACAAAAACACTTGTTCGGACCATTTTGAACGGCTCAATGCATTCAAATTGGGTTTTCACTGTGCATAATACATATGGTTAACAAATAAAAGGAGATGACTACTGTGGAAAGGGTCATGCCTGTCACATAAACGCTACGTGTCTTAATCTCAATACAAAATATTCGTGTACCTGTCGTCTCGGCTTCCAAGGAAATGGCTTCGATTGTACAGGTTTGTTGGCGATTTGAGCATAGTCTAATGCAAATGTGACGAAAGAGAAGAGAAATTCAAGACTTTCATTTGCAGATATTGATGAGTGCGCACAACAAGGTGGTCAATATGGAAATCATTGCCACTTGAATACGGTTTGTGAAAACACTATTGGTTCATATGTATGCAATTGCCTTCCTGGGTTTCGCCGTGTTGATAAATTCAATTGTGCAGAGATCAATGAATGTGCGGCCAATTTGCATTCATGTCACGAAAATGCCGAATGTATTAATACAGTGGGATCGTATAGTTGCCGATGCAAAGAAGGCTACGAAGGCGATGGTACTCAGTGTAAACGTAAGCATCATATATGATATGTATTGAACATAGAAAAAAAGAACAATTTCTTCTTTTTTTTTCTTCCATTTTATAAAATTGTCGTTTGTTCTGATTTCTAGCTGTCTGCAAGCAAATGTGTTTGAATGGAGGTGTGTGCACTGCACCGAATACTTGTACTTGCCGTATGGGCTACATTGGTGCCTCTTGTGAACGAGATCTCGACGAGTGTGCAAGCGGATTGCACACATGCAAGACTTCAGCGTACTGCGTTAATATGCCTGGATGGTATGACATTGGATATTATTCTCTCAAAAAAGAATTTGCTGAGATTTTACTAAATCCATCCATTTCTATTCCAAGGTACTACTGCAAATGTAAACCGGGCTATGAGACGCATAACTACGAATGTCATGATATCAATGAGTGTTATCATAGCACACATAGTTGTCATCCGACAGCATTATGTGTTAACTACGATGGCCACTTTGAATGCGTTTGTCCCGAAAATTCGACTGATGTCAGCAGAACTGATACCGAACCATGTCGACTGAGTAAGTGGAATGCCATTGACATTCAGCTAACTATGCATCAGTTTTTGTCAATTTATTATTAATGCCGTTTGATGTTGTAGGCTGTATGTTCGAAGGTGTGGAAATTCCAGACGGAGAACGCATTTCCCCACACAATCAACCGTGTAAAATATGCACATGTAATAAGGGTGTGATCTCTTGCGAGGAGCCTGCTTGTGATTGTTCCACCTGGAAAAAGGGAAGCGGACGAGATCTCTGTTGTCCACAGTGTGATCCAAAAGAATCATGCCGACATCAGGAGTTAAAGCACATAGTATTTAGAAGTGGCGAGCAATGGATTTATCAGTGTCAAACTTGCGAATGTTTGGTTAGTCTCACGTTATTTGTACCGCTTATCATTAACAGATATGTAAAAATTTGTCACTGTGTATTAATTTAAATAACGTATTATTCTCCGTCTCGTTCACTATATTGTTTCTGATAGTATGGTGAATTCGATTGCTGGAAATTGGAGTGTCCTCCATTAACGTGTGATAAACCCTTACCACTAGCGCCTGGTGATTGTTGCGCAAGATGCGAGGACGATCCTTGTAACATATTAGTTGGTAGTAATAGTACCGGTATTTATGCCGCTGGAAAGCCGTGCACGTATAAAGGTCACGAATATGAATCCGGACAACAATTTAGTGATATGTCTAGTCAATGTACGACATGTGCCTGTAAGGTAAATTTCTTCAGACTACCATTTGGATGAATCTGATACAAACTAATCAATCCGCCCATTATACTATTTTTTTTTAGTTTGAACCTTATTTGTATGCACATGAATAGCACTGAATTTTTACATATGAACAAAGATTGCAAAATAGTTGCTACAATTTTTCAGTCTCATCATATGAAATTAATATATTACCATGAAATGCAGATGTTGAGTGATAGTTGTCCGAAATGTTTCATTATTTTCGGGAGAAAGCCAATTTTTATTACATTGGAAAATGGAAAGAGCAATTAGATCGAATCAAATACAGTTACATACGGACACAACAATCCATCTGTATTCCTACAGCGAAAGCAAACATGACTGTTCTGAATGCCAGCTCCGTTCACAAAAATCTAGCGCTGTATTTCCACCTATATGTTGCCTTTTTTTTCGCATAAAATCATGTAACATCGATTTTTCGAATTCTCAATTATTTCAACCGATCCAAATCAACAATTCCGTCAGATTCCATCGGAAAATGGGGGATAGAGATTTCGATGTAACATAATAATATTAAATGTTTATTTGGCGTAGATTTTATTCACCATAAATGCTTACTTTTTTATAGATTGTATAATGCACTGGCATTGCGGTAACGCAATTGACTTTTCCTTTCAACCGATAAGCGATATCAATGACAATTAGTTATAGAAGTGTTTCGCCTATGGTTCATTTCGATTTCTATTTAAATATTACACTCATAATGCACACTTTCTGTGCCTGTGTGCAAACTAAAATAAACAGCGAACGGGCCAATTTCACGAGTGTGATCAAAAATCGTCCATCCCGAAATTATAAATTATATTTAGCTATTACTATTTCGCTATTGCCATATGGTCTCCTGACTTATGCCTTCAATTTTATCTAAGTAATGTATTTAATTATGACGTTTTAAATCTGTTATTACAAGCAAAAGATATAGATCAGTTCTGGTTAACCATGTAATGCATGCTAAGTCGCGTTAAACTCATTTTTCCTGATCCTTTTCCTACTAGTTTTGCTTGTCTTCGGGTTTTTATTGAAATTGTTTGGAAAGAACACCTCAGGAAAATGATCATTCAGAATAGATCGACAATGCCCCATCATTTACAAGAAAACGGAACAGAAACAGTTTTCAACACACTGAAACTATTCCATACATTTTATGGATGTTTTTTTTTTCAAATCTTCTCCAAGTATAAACACAAATTCGTGCGGATCTAACAGCGATAAGCTTTCATTTGAATAAAATAATAAAACGGTTTCCGCCCTATTTTTCAGAGGAACAAAGAATCGATTGTACACTAGGGTGTTCAGCTAATCTGAAAAAGAAGAATGAATAGCATAAATTTAAAGAGAAGCCAATTTTATGTCAACTGGTAGCATTAATAGAGCGTTATACAACACTTCCAGAAGAAAAAAAAACTCTTTGCAAAATCGAATAATGCTTACCTAAACGACCCACTAGAGTACTCCTGCGCAGTTAACATCAACCAGATGGGGAGTCAACTTGCTTCAACGCAACTATCCCACATGATCGGGATAGCCTTTAATAACTAATGTTACATTTGTTTTTTTTTTTGTTTGCAATGTGCTGATTAGACAGCATGATCAGCTGGCTGCTGGTCGTACTCGAACATTTCTACATCATTATCCACGATGGCGGCAGCAGCAGCGGCTGCTTCAGCGGTTGCTCTAGCGGCAGCAGCAGCGGCAACAGCAGCGGCTGCTTCAGCAGCTTCGCGCCAATACCTATTGATCGCCTCTGGTATCGGAAGTCCCAGTAATGTCCATAGTCCTGAACAATTAAACAAATGAAACTTCTTAAAAAATCATTCAATCGAAATTGTGCGTCAATTAGCCTTACCTTTCAGTAGAATGTTCTTAGCAGCCACGACGTCACGATGCCAAATCACAGAGCATTCGAGGTTTAATCGCCAGTTTTTGTAGTAACATTTTACTTTTGGGAATAAACGCTCGTCTCCTACCAATGCTTCTTCGTTCATGGCGCGTTGCAACTGTCGGTAGATCGATAGATCCGTTTTGCCCAACTTTGACACAATTTTCGTTGGCAGCAATGTTCTGGCGTCGGGTACGCATCGGCATTTCTTGAATCTGGCCGCTTTGTTCTGGTTTTGGAATCGATTCATACATCTTGCGTCGGTTTGAGATGTTCCCCATTCGTCCACGAATTGTATGAAACAATCTCGGCGCTTCTTTATTGACCTCATAGTCTTACGCACCCCTGGGCAGCGCACGTGCTTCTTGATACTTATTGGGCTATCAGGTGGTATTTCGCCATCAGCACCAAAAAAGAACAGAGTCGGTTTCTTATCGGTCACCTTATTCACCCATTCGTCGACAACACTACTGCTCTTGATGTGTTTGTCCAAGGCGAGTCGAGTGTATTTGGCAGTCGAGTAAGCGCAGATTCCATGCTTCATCATCTTGACTCGGTGTTTGATGTAGTTCAGCCACATTGACCCTTTTGGCGACGGCATCACTGGATACAGATCACGATTTTCTCTGTCTGCGCGCTCCATTTCGACGAAATTTTTGGTCCATCGCTTTGCTTTGGCATTTCGCACCTTTTGACCTGTTTGCCAGTGGAATTGCTTGCTCGACATTACAAAGTTGGTCTGAAAAAATAAATAGAAAAAAAGGTATAGTTATTGAGTTTTGGCACTTAAGCATTTTCTATTAAAACACACACAACTTATTCAAATGTATACAAAACTTACTTCTTTGCCAGTTTCAATGTCGTGTGTTGTTGTGGTATTCCAACTTCGCACACCTGTATCAACGCCCGAAAAATTTTTGATTGTGCCATCCTCAATCTTCTGAATGATGCGAGATTTTTGGTCGATTTCTTTGTTGGCTGTCTTCTTTTTGGCCGAGTACTGGAGAGACACAGAGATTCCATCGGTGTTTATGGAATAGTCAAACTGCTTTTTGGCACGCACGAATCGTCGAATTTTTCGCATGTAAAAATACTGATTCCACCAATAATCTCTGTCCCGATTGAAATCCTTTTGTTGAATCGTTATCGTGCTTGTTGTTCCTTTTTTATTCTCGATTTCCACTTTCGGTAGCAATTTTTGCGAAGACAACACCTGGTGCATGGATGAACAATCGATTCTGAAGTGCGTACGCCGGAAATCACACATCGGCACCACTACTAAATTTCGGATGAATGGCCGAAAATCTGGGTTGTCGAGCATTTGGCTGCGCTTGCGTTTCCATTTTCCTTTTGTCTTTTTTCGCTTTCTCTTCTTGCGTTTGGGTCGGCGCTGATGTGGCCACTCCGAATTGTACTCTTCTATCTCGCGCTGCATGGATAGGTACATTGGCATGGCCTTATACCAATGTTTTGGGTCAGTTGTAAGGTCATGCAGATCGATATCTGGGAACACATTCAGGTCGTTCACCATGTCATACAACACGCTACACCGTTCGAGTTTGTTTGGATCGCGACTTGGCACTTTGATGTCTTTTTGTTTGATGATCAGATTCACAACACTTGCGATGTCACTTGGCAAAAATTTCTCTGCATCATCTCCTACGTCTGAGTTCCATTGGAAAACCTTCAGTTTCAAGTACTGGGTGATGTGTTTGTTAGCATGCGTTTCAAGATTGGTGACGACGTTATCTGTGTACTGATTGGTCAAATGCTTAAGGCCATTACAGAAATCTTTGTTGTTGGGCCAATCGATACGATGATAGTCGTCAAGACCTTCGACAATTGCCTTGAATTCAGGATCGATACGTGGCAGCTCTGCTCGTGGTCCTCGTGGCTTTGTTCCGCTTGGTTTATACCTTGACTTCGGTTTTGGTGGCTGATTGTTGTGCCATAGCACTTGTTCAAAGCAGAGTTTGATCTTATCTTCTCCACTTCCACCAAACAATGCGAAATTATTGTTCTCGACGCCTATATTCGAATGCCTTTTGCACCTCAAACAAGAACAGCAATGAGCCCAAAACACAAATGGAAGTGGCTTGCAAACTCAGATCCGTTATTTTGCTCATCAATGCTTGCTGGTATTGTGGGCGAATGATTGTCTTTAGCGCACATTTGATCGTCGTAATTTCATCTTTCGTCTCTCCCTCCGCTGGTATTGATGGCTTGAAACGATTCGCCATTGTCCTACTGAAAGAAAAAAAACACACATTCGATTTAGTTTGAAAACGAATAATATTGAAACTTAAATTCGATTTAGTTTGAAAATGACAACAGAATGAGACACACAAAAATGACTTCGGTTTGATAACAATGGCATTGATTCAATTTGAGTTCGAACAGTAATCGATTAACTGTTTCTCTTCTCCGAACAATGGACTCAATTCATTGCATAAAATGAATTTCACCATCACACGTATTTCACCATCACATGTAACAGAACTATGTACTGCAGAATTATTGTGAAATTCATTACTTTTGTACATGGAATCTAATATTACTGTTGATATGTTCAATATATTTCACGTTATAAATGCTTATAAAACGTTTTTAAAATGAATTCCACAATAAGAAGAAGAGATTGAAATGATCAAGTTTACTTACACTTTGGCGACTTGAATTCAATGTGAACTCCGGATCAAATCGATACAAAACGCACGTAAATCGAAAATAATACGAAATGAAATACCAGCAAAATCGTAGATAAATTAAATTGCAATGTAAATTTCCAGTTTAAATTGTAAGATAAAATGTAAGAGTTTCAATTTGTTGACTTCGTGTTCACAACGCTGTATGTTTTCTCGGAATGAATGATGCGGCGTCTGTGACATTTCGAAAACTGCTGAAGTGAATGTCAAATGCCATACGGATCGGTTCACATTGCTAATTTTTAGAACATTAGACAATTTGAGCTACAAAGAGTCAATTAGTACTAACACATAAAAACGGTTATATTTCGGTGAAATTCCAAATTTATTAGCAATGAAGGACGATTTATTGTTTGATTCCGATTTTTTGGGCCGAAATCTGCGTAGAAATCATATATTCTTATTTGACTCCCCAAACCTGAACACCCTACAATGTACACTTTTTTGAAGTACAAGAACACAGGATATTGAATTTCGTTCAAATATTCGGACATAGGAAAATTTAACTAAAAAAATTTCATTTGCTAGCTTAGCTCTGGAGATAGAATTTATCTACCCAAATGCACAAATTATTGGAACACACTCACTACAGATCTAAGCTCTCTTAAGAGAAGTATAATCTACACACAAAGAGTTATTGTCATCACAGAACTCTGACAAGACTAACGTTGTAAAGTTTTTGATTTTCAAAAACGGGGAGAGAAAGATGTATACAGTTTGTATTCACCATCTTACTCTGACCAAATCTAAAAAAATTACAATGTGAGTCTTATCAGCGCCCTGTGATTGTCATTATTGGAGTATTTGTAGAGCATCAGTCACAGATGATGGTAAAATTCAAAATGTAGTTTTTTCACGCCCAAATCTTTTCTACGTGTTTTTCATTTGCGTTAATGCCCACACATCAAATGGAATGAAGAAAATAATGAAAATTGAAGTCAAATAAATATCTATTGACATTAAAATTGCAAATGTTTGACATGATTTGTTGTTAGCAATATGATTTCGCAATATTACATAATATTTCGTTATCATAACTTTATTCGTGAGACGTAGAAGAATGTATGTTTTTTTTCTCGATTTATATTTTTGGAAAGGAAAGTATGTTTTCTGTTGATTCTATCTATGTTAAAAGAAAGTATGTTGGTGTACCGTTGCGGTTTTTCAACGTTACGGTAACAACAAGGAATCTTCGGCAAAGTTGTGGTACTCGAAGTCTTCTATAACATTGCTGAAGACAGTTATCTCTTATCAGTTGTGCGCAAATCGCGAAGTTAGACAAACTTGCGTTCTTTTACGTCTTACTGACCGAACTGTTGTCCGCAAAAAAAAATGAATTGAATTTTTTCACCATATGTGACTGACGCTCTACAATTGTTGTATACATATTTTGTATGCAATCAAAATGAAATTATATGGAGTGCCCAGACATTTAACATGAACACCACAGACGGGCGGATTAAGAGACCATGATCGACTGTTCACACTGGTTTTTTCAAAAATGATCAACAGCTAGTCATTTTTGGAAACTTTGAAAGTGAGTATGAATAGTTATTTATACTCTCTTAATTCGCCCACCTGTAATAATAAACACTCTCGATCTATATAATAAATGTAAATCACTCACTTTATTTATTTTCTCACCAATATTTTTGAACTTCAAAGATAATAGTCAGCAACCACTGAAAATGGCATCATCACTTTCTTGTCATGGTTTTGTTCGTTAGCAAAAAAAATGAATTCGGAATACGCACCCACCAAATAAACTATTTATTTTCTTTTGTTTAATGCATTGATAAATTAAAAGCGATATGATTATGTAATATTCTATGCGAATCTTCTTGCAGGTTCCCTACTGTGCCCAACTGGTGAGCAATTCTGCGTGTTGTGTGCATCGGTAAAAAATCACTCTTTACATACACCTATCTCTGCTAACTTATGATTTTTTTGATTTCTCTACTTTTCTGGATATTTATTTGGTTTGGTTTGGTTTGGTTTTGGTTTCGGTTTCTTTGGTATTAAGTTTGATTTTGTATTTGGTTTTAGCTTTTTTCAGTTTTTGTCATCAAATGTTTTCCAGTTTTCTGTTACATTTGGTCGACCTTGGCACCACCTATTGGAATTGGTTTTTGGAACATACTCTTATACACTTTTCGTTGAATTAAAATTGACGGATTTGCGGCTGTTTTTTGTTTATGCATTCGGTTTTTATTTAGGAGCATCTATTTGTTTTTTGAGGCTAAAAATGAGATTCCGTGTGACTTGAAATTTGTATTAATTAACAGCCATACAATATGAATTTACGTAAAGGTGGATTATTGCTTCTAAAAAAAATTCGTTCAACATAACTTCTTAGTACACTGTAAAGGAGATGGAATTTTATACAATTATCATGAAATTTTTCAGTGAAAAAATCCAAGAGGATTAAATCCTAGTCACAACATCTTTTTCGAATTGGTTGTTTCAGATACGAATTACTCTAAATCGGAAAATTTGAAAACAGTATGCGTTTTTACTTGATATTTGATTTGATTTTTTCATAGTAAAAAATACTGACTAAAAATGAACTCTACGTTTCTGGCAGCAAATCGTTCACCATTATTTCAAGCGTGAGCACAATTTGCAATTAAGTGATAAAACCTGACGCAAGATCGGTCAATGTTCATATTTCCTAATTGCATTGCTAGACTTTGCGCACGAAATATTGATAGCGGAAGAAGTTGACCACACAACATTAAGTGAAAATTTCAAATTAATTCTTAAGAGTGATGTTGAAAGATTTTAAGTGTTAATTTGTTGATCCCTTTGAAATTTTTACTGAAAAATCCCAAATTACCCATATGAAATCCCTTCCGTTTAACAGTGTAAGAAATTCACTTGAATCGTTTCCAAGAATAATTTGGTGATTCAAACGAGAATCTCGTTTGAACTGGATTCTTTTTCTCATCATGGCTCATACAATGTTTTAGTTTTGTTTACCTGTTCCGACAATATGGCTTTTATCAGATTTGAACAGGTGTATGATGTGAATCTCTTCCAAATTTTGCGTTGAGCATATTAGTTTTTACGAATGATTCGAACTATCGAAAATTAACTCGCAACTCTTCAAAAAAAAATGAGGAAAAACCTAAAACAAAATACACAAAATTTAATCAAAACCATAAACTTTTTTGTTCATCGGGGATGATCCAACTGACAATTTTGTCGAGTCCCCCAATTATCTTTGTTATCGGAACTCACATAGAATTCGGTGGATACTTTGCTTCGATAAATGAAGGAATGATTTCAAAACGAATCTACAAATCAGAATTTTGGAACATTTTATCCGATTTTTCGGACATTTTCTATAGTATTCTTTACTACACCAAGAAATGTTGTGAACTCAAATGACATTCCCGGAATCCCGATTTATCGATCCATTTTGAAATCATTCCAATTTCTCGAAACAAAGTATCCGCAAAATTATTTTTGAATTGAACACATTATATGACAAATATTTGAATAGAAATTCAGTTTTTTGTTAGGTTCTGAACAATTTGATAGTTCGAATTATCGATAGGGGACTTGAAAATACATAAAACACACAAACACACAAATACACACACACATGTACACACAAACACATAATACATGAAATGATAACACACAAATATACTTTTCGGGTTGCTAAGTTGCTGCTTAATCATCAAAAATCAGAGACGATGCACGGATCATGATTTTACCTTCGTTTTGTTTTGAGAGGAAATGAAACAGTTCGAGATGGAATGTGGAAAAAATATTATTATCATCAAAAAATATTATTGATTTTGTTTATGGTTTATTGATACTTTCGTACAGGAAGAACAAAATTTATTAATTTTCTCATTTCTTCATTTCTCTCTATTGCACACTGCACCAAAACATGTAACAAATCATATATTTTCTTCTTTGGAGAAAAAAATACGCGAATAAAGTGAATAAAGTAAATAAATTTCATTATATATGCATGGCATTGGGTCATTCAATATGCCCATATATACTATGAACACAACGGGTTCATAGGATCATAATTTATATTCGTGTGAATTGTGCAATTTGTTGTAGCATTAAAATATACTTCATATTTTTTTATAAATGCACCATTTTCCTTTAGTTGATTCCGTACATTTCGTGTTGCTGCACAACATTTATCGTCCTCATCCAAAGGACTTTTCATCTATATTTATTGTATGAGCATCGATCGCTTTCACCAATTATTTCTGTGAGAGATCACTTGCGGAAAAATGATACGTAAACTTTTTCCACGCGAACAAATTGACTTGAATCCCGTTAAAAGTATTCGGGAGAAAATCTTCTTTTGAAGGTCAAAATTGGCAGTAAGTAAATAGTAATGCCGCGTCAATTCCCCATGGCTTCAGTTGGATATCGCAATCAGATATTTCAATTTCAATTATATTGAATACAAGTTCTTTGTGTCTTTGTTTTAATATCAATTTTTGAATTAAACTTCTGATAATAAACAATTTCTCACCATATTTTTCAAGAAAAATAGTAATTCTGAAACAATAAGACAACAATGAAAGTAAAATAATTAACACTTTAGGTAGTAGCTTGAGTTTTAGGGTGACATAAAAAGTACCCAAAATCAAGGGGTGGTTTCTCCAGTGAAGGTATAGGCTTTTTAGGTGACATATTCATCTATGATTACAAAACGTGCTTTTTTTTCATGCTTGAGTTTTTCGAGAAGGGGTTATTCACGTTTTTTGTTTTGTTGTCTATTTGTTAATACAGTAAAAAGTGCCATTTTCACCAAGGTTCATTTTCATTTTATGAAAAATTGACTTCCCAGAATTTCACCAATTTCGCCAAAAACTGAGCGTTTAGTTCTCTCATCAATGACATGTGGAAGTTGAGTGTATCATCAATCATGAATTGAATAAAAAAAATAGTGTAAATTTAGGAAAGAGTGATTTAGATGCCATAGTAAATCTATTACATAATGTGAATTTCACATTCAGATCAATCTGCATCGGTACTATGTATCCAATTATCGGTACTAACACTTTGAAATCAACTACCGTTAAGAAAATTATAAAATACGGATCTCTTTGAAGGATTAAATAAAATTGGAATCCCCCTCAAAATCCACGCGCCATGAAAAAAATCGAATTTTCAAAGGAAACTATGACAAAAAGTCAATTTAAGTCATATTATGTATTTATCGTACTATTTTCTTATAACAAGAAAGATAGTTGTAAGTTAATATGTTATTCAAAGATCTAAAATTATTTAAAGAGAAATTAACATTCTACGATGAGTTTAAATTACTAAACGGTATTTCTACGAATGACTGTACAAAAATAAATTAACGAAATCGCAACATGATTCTATATAGTCAGCTCTATGTGCTCATGTTTTGAAGTGTCATCAAAACGAAATTATTTTTATTTCAAGAGTATCGTCGTAGAATGTCAATGCAACAATTTCAGTTTATATCTTATAATGTGCTCTAGCATTGAAGTTGATCCCAATACTCCCTTTGAACATTACCTCCCACAATTCGGTTAATTTATTACACAACTTATGTAAAATAATATGTTGTCCATTGTGTAAGTGTGTCTATGTGTGTGTTTCTTTGCCAAAATTTAAGTCTAAGTCTCGACATTTATTTGCTCTTTAACTTTGTACCTCTGCTTTTGTCTTTGTCCGCTGATTGAAATGTAAAATGCTTATTCCTCTAGCTATTCAAATTTGGAACTAATTCCGTTTTTAATGCGTGTTTGCTATTTATCATTCAAATCATGCATATATTTGTATTTTATCCTATAATTTTTGTTGAATTTTTCTTATTTGGAGTATTCAATTTTGATTGAAGTTCAGTCTTCGAATTAGTTTGTATATTTTTGTTGCATTTGTAGTGTATATACCATTTGTGAAGTTAGTTTGTGTGAAGAAATTTTTTTTTTCTCTAAAATAACAAAATTCATCTGATTGTATAGACTAAGAGAAGAATATTCGCTTGAAAATTGACGATATTTTTTTTTAAATATAAAATTTACTAATTAATAATTGAATAATTTGAATAATAATACGTAACTCTTTATTGTCCATCTATGTGTGTGTATTGAATTTAGGACGGTCAGCTGTGCTGCAGTTTCGATAATAGTTGTAATGATGCTTTACCAAACACAAACCGCGCTAAAACAAACCGTTTGGTTCATGTTGCTGAACATGTCGACACTTTGGATGCAACAAATGTCCAAACCGAAAAAATTTCCGCTGCGAATATGGCGACAACGAGTGGATATTATTACAATTCGTTTACTTCCTCGGCCAATGTATTATCGCCGGGATCGATACTTACACACCGACGGAACAATGAACGAACTAGAGAGGCCCACAATCAACGAACCGTTTACACTGAGAAATTGATTGGCACTACCGCTACAACATACACAAGCGATGATCGATCTCATTCAGACGAGACTGAAAAGTCTTCTTCAATGCCACACATTACATCGATAGCACCAGCAGCCTAAACAAATAAAAAAAATTCATTTCAAACTAACGTTATTGACGCAACGAACTAATGCGTACTTCTTAACTATTCAAATTTGCAGATACTGCAATATTTTAAATATTTATATCGATGTCGGCCACAGTGAAAAATAAAACAATTTTTATTATTTTGAGTATTTCGTAATGACGTTTTTGTGTGAGTGTGTGAGTGTGTGTGTGTGTGTGAGTGAGTGAGCGAGAGATAGAGAGAGAAAAGGAAAAATCCGCTCTGGTCAAACCGTTGCTGGAAAAGCAATATACTGCAAGCGACACCTATTCGCATCGATATTGTTGTGCTAAAAAATGCTGAAATATACGCTAGTGGCATTGAGCTCTTGCATCAACGGTATGACTCCGGTATATAACTATAAACCAGCCATAGTCTAGTTCAGACTATATTTATTCATAATTCAACTGATTCGCACGAAAATAAAGAGAAAATAAAAACTTCACCGTAGACATATTAAGTATTGTTCGACAATGCATTCGAAATCAAGCGTGAAAAATTCCTGAATAAACGTTTTCATACATTCTGAGGGTGATTTGGTTATTAGGAATATATTTAACGCACACGTGTCCATTTTATCATTTCAAAGTTCTATTCGTGAGACGTAAAAGAATGTATGTTTTTTTGTCGATTTATATTTTTGAAAAGGAAAGTATGTTTTCTGTTGATTCTATCTGCGTTAAAAGGAAGTATGTTGGCATCCCATCTAGCCTCCGCGCTTTTTTACGGTTTCTGCGGAACTGATAGGAGATAACAACTTGGTGTCTTCGGCAAAGTTATAATACTCAAGGTCTTCTATAACATTGCTGAAGACATCTATCTCTTATCTCTTATCAGTTGCGCGTAAATCGCGCACATAGAAAAGCAAATTTTATATAGAACTTTTTTTTTCTTATCATTTTTCGCGCTTTTCGCGGAACTGATAAAAGATAAGAGATAACTGACCTCAGTAATGTTATAGGAGACCTTGAGTGCTACAACTTTGCCGAAGACACCAAGTTGTTGTCTCTTATCAGTTCCGCGGAAACCGTGAAAAGCCGCGAGGATCCGCTAAAAACGAACATACATTCTTTTAACCATTATTAGTTGCAATGAAACATACTTCTCTTTATTGCTACGAAGTTGGACCAACTTGCGTTCTTTTACGTCTCACCAATAGAGTTAAACCTCTGTTTTCATTCATTTCTTTCCAAACCCAATGGTAATGGTAACTCAAATATAAACTAACAAATTTCGAAATGAATAAGAAGTAAAAAAAATAACAACAGCAACAACAACAGATTAATAGCATTAGATACTCTCTACAAACTTTTAATATTGAGTGCAATTTTTAAAAATTATTTAGGTTTTATCCAATTCAATGCAGGCGAAAGATATTTAAAAATCAATAGAAATTCACTTTGAAAAGTTGGCCGTGCCAGAGTCGTAAGTAGGATTACATGATACGTCAGCCATTTATTATATAAGTATGTACGGATGTATTTAATTTTTTAAACATATTTTTCAAACAATACTTGAATGTGAGGCCCTAACATTGGATTCGTTTAACACCTATCAAACAGATTTAGATTTTAGTATGAAAAACAATTTAAAAAAAAAGAAAAAAAGAAGAAGATGGATTTGAACATACTACACAAAAAGAATAAATTTTAAATGAAAACATTGGTTGCTGACGTCAATTAGAAGTGTTTGTGTAAATTACAAAGGCCAGCAGCAACAAAACGAACTGATTGATTTTAGTGTAGACAAGCATTATAGGAATTTTATGAATTATTGAGAATAAAAAAAAGATGAAACTAGCATTACAGAAAAATATATGCAATTGCTAGATAAAGTTAAAACAAAAAAAAGCAACTTAAGGAACTCATAGCCTCGTATACGACTGACAAGTCGATATTTTAATGCATTTAAATCAAATCACAATAAAAACAAAACATTTAAAAAACCAAATGCTCTTTAACTTTTGAAGCTCAAAACCAAGAAACAATCTCTTCCCCAAGCTTAGATATCTAAGACAATGGAACTGAGATGCCCAAAACGTCGACAAAAGAATATTTAAAAAAACAAAACAAAACAAAATATATGACCGAGTGTATGTCAATAGCCCACGATACACTATTTGAGTTTGTGTTTCATTTGGCCATAGATATTCAAATTTTGATGCGATCTATTCAATATCGGATAATGAACAAATAGCGCTAGCAGCGCAGTGTGCATGCTGTGAATCGTGTACTACGGTGTTTCACAATGAATTGGCCTTTAATTTTTAGCTGGATATTTATCGCAAATTCAAACTTCAAACTAAATTTATTTTGGGTGAGAGTCACAAAATTAAAATGTCCCAATCTCAGCAAACGAATAAATCCAGATGAAGACAGCAATGAATGGCAATTGCGATACACCGCATCTTACGCATGTATTGCTACTGCAATTGTTACAGCACTTCGGAATGCAAAGTTAAGGAATTGCCATTTTTTATGAAATGCCACGGTACACGTCCCACACGTTGTACGCTGTGCCATTGAGAACTGATCAGAACGGCAAAGAAAACGCAAATAGAAAATGCCACAACTTCTGACCTTGATGGCATATCATGTTTAATTTTTACACTTATCCGCTTCGTAAAAATCAAATCAATACATTTTTACAGCTAATTCCAATGGTTTATTTAGTAAACTTGCTCTAACACACAATACATTTGTTTATAGAATTGTCCTAGTTTTACTATTCCACTGATTTAACCACCATAAGCCTCTCTATAAAAACTCGAAGTAGATTTTTCCCCTAAGTTTTATCTATGATGTAACTTATGATTAAAATGCGCAGTGTACTTAACGCTTACGAGTCCGTATTCGAGTGAAACTTAATTTCCTACGAAGAAGTCGAAAAAAAACTTATGCATACACTCAATATATGCGCGACCGAGACCGTATCTAAAATATTTTTAATTCATATGAATTTAATATTATTGTTCCAAGTTATTTTCAATCCAAAATGTGTGCGTGCATATTTTACTTATTTATTGGACTTAGCTGAAACATAGCGGAAAAATCAACTTCGAGTATTTACAGAGTTCTTTAGTATCAAGTCGAACTCCTAATCAATTCATCGAGGTCAAAAATGAAACAAATGTTCATGGTGATATGACAATAAATGTTTTATTTTCCTAAATTCCATTGGTGCAATGAAACAAAAAAAAAGTGTTTTTATTATTGAGTGAGTTTGACTATCAAACAGTGCCCATGCCCATCCCATATTAAATCTTCGAATGAGATCATTGAAAACATTTTAATAATAGTATTCATATGTTCAAATGATCGATAGATTGAGGTAGGTTATGCTTTTCAGAATGGTATTCTAGGTGTCATTGGTAACAATCACAGTTAACAGGACGCAGTCAGATGAACTCAGCGCATTTTTAGTCCATTTTGATTTGGTGTTTTATGATCCAAGTATATTTTTTCAGGCTTTGTTATGCGCTAAATCCATCACGCTGAATAAATTCATGCGATAGATTTATGCGATAAATGTGATGCGCTCGCTTTGCGGTTAACGCGGTCTGTTGCTCTTCACTACCGCTTAGCGATGCGTTCATGAACGCATCGCAAAACGTTCATGCGCGAACAACTGAAGAGCAACAGACCTCGTTCACCGCAAAGCGAGCGCATCACATTTATCGCATAAATCTATCGCATGAATTTATTCAGCGTGATGGATCTAGCGCATAAAAAAGCCTGCATTTTTTTACTGAAAATTGCGCTCAAAAATGTTGCAAATAGCCGCCGAGGCCGGTCTCTGTCTCTGTCTCTGTCTGAGCCAAGCTACAAACATTAATTCAGCCTATACACTTTGATTTAGCATTGGGACAATGCAGCATAAGCTTCAATCCAATAAAGTTGAAGAAAAAAGTACAATAGTAAATGAGTAAGACTAATTTTTTTTGTAAATAATAACACTTCGACTTGCATTAAGAAGTCAGATGCAAGTTGTAATTTGAAATCAACTCCTGATAATACTTAATTGAAAATGAACAAAGGCAAATGACACCAAATCACACCCCAATGCTTACACCCCTACTATTAAGCTCTTGTCCTTCAACTGACAATTCTATGCGTGGGATTGAGAGAAGAGTACGTTTTTTCGTTGATTCAGATTTTCGGAAAGGCGAGTATATTTTTGATGATTTTCTTTTGCGTTAAATTAATATGTTGACATATGGCATGTAAAAAAAAGTTACTCTTTTCTATCTTAATATTTCAGCATCAATTTTCATGGGCAAGGTTGATAGAATTCGATTCTTTAATTTATTAAATTTGTAGTGCCAATTTTGGCAATAAATATTTTATTGCTTCGTTCCGTAAAATCAATTCTTTTTTTTCACAATCCATTCTCATCATTTCATTTGGCGGTATTTTTGTCGTCAAAATGACGTTTGACAGCTACGCTGACAGTTGTGTTTTTTTTCGTCTCTCGTATTTGTTTACATTATTTTATTGTTTTTAAATAGTTATCCACATTGTTTTGTCACAAATTTTATATCATTCTATTCGTAAAGACTTGCTGTATCGTAATATTGTAAAGTTCATCCGTGTCAACATCACTTTCGTCAATTTTTCTCTGTGATAATTTGTGCACATTTTTGGGTACGTAGATTTCGTTACTCACGTCGTTAACCTGTGTTATTGTTATTGTTTTTTCATAACCATAAAATGGTCCAATGTGCGTTGTGTGTGAAACCGGTAGCCAGTGACAAGAGCATTTCATGCTATGGCTTATGTGGCAAATCATTTCATTTCGCCTGTCTCAATAAAGTCTATGCCACCACTATATTCAATAAAACTCTGACAAACTATTTAGGGAAGATTACTGGTTTACAGTGGTATGGTGACAGTTGCCAGCCACACACATTTGGTGGCATTTTGAACAATTTCAATGAGTGTTCAAGTTTTATTGCGGACCTTAAACGCTCGCTCGTGCCTCTCATTGACAAAGTGTTGTGTGCTGACTTACCGCAAAAGAGTGCCAGGAACCAAAATGAACAGAATCAAAATGAGCAAAATACCGGTGCTGCCGAAGTGATTGAAATTGACCAAAATACGTTGTTTCATCTTATTGACAATGCCAATGACA